TTTCGTCTTCCCCAAAATCTCAGGATCAACCTTGACCATATCTTGGAGACTCAGTTTTTCTAAGTTGGGTGATTGTTTTCATATCCATGAAATACATAGATGCATAAACTTACACAGAGAGCAGGATTTACAACATCAGCATATAATAAATATAGAAGAAAAGACCAGCAGCAGAGCCTACCTCGAAAAAACACCTTTATGTCGCGCACCAGCATGTGACAACCTGTAATGCTCTGTGATCTGAAGATTGCCCCAGTGAGATATTTCCACTTCACGTACAAGCTCCTCAACGACAGCAAATGGCTTGTTATTCTCAAAATGAACAATTACTGGAGAATAAGAGTATGCAGGGCGATCCTTGTAAGGGCCATACTTTATTTCAGTACCAGCGCGGTTAGTGGACTCTACTCTTGTAAATGATTCCACCTTAGTACTAGGTGTTCTTATAAAAGTAGTCTGCTGCTTAATATAATACGGTGACAATATTATTGCACTATCACGATAATAGACCAACTGAGACTCTGCTTGGTTTATCTCTGCAGGGAAAGGCTCCAGAGAATGTGTCAATATATAAAGCACTTCTAATGTTGCAGTTTCACCTGCATTTAATGGGTTGAGCAAAGATATGGAAAAATATTTGGTCTGATTTGGTGCATCAGGGAGGTCAGTGGGATTCACTTCAAGAGGCACATAGCTTTTCCTTTTCTTTTTTCCAACAGTGAGAGCTGCTTTGAGCGAAGCAATATGATCAACCTGTGTAGGTGGAAAAGCAAGAAGTACTTCCGAAACAGGAGATGCACCGGTATTTTCAACCTGAAAGACAACCCCAGCAATCTAATAAACATCCCAGTACATTAAAAGCTATTTTCAAAATCACTGATGCTATATGATCACAAAGTACAGTTGTCTACGGTTCATTTTTGTCATTGTTACAAGTGTTGTGTCCCACCTGCGGTGCATTGTGCAGCAAAACTCGCAGGTGGTATGCCAATTTGTAAAGAAAAGACTAAAATTTCAAAACTTCTGATACTGTAGCTCAGCTATACAGATTATACCATATTCAGACTACGTTTCGTAAATCTATTACATTAAAGATTGAAACTAAGCTCAATAATCTACATTGATGCCGAAAATTCGACATGAAAGATATCTATAAAATTGTAAACTATGATATCAAAGATGTAGACTTGATTCCACACCCAGAAAATTTTCCAATTTCCACAGATTCGATACAATTTTCTACAATAATGAGTCCAATCCAAGAGTGTAAGCAATACAGAAAATAAAGAAAATATATACCTTTAACGTCAAGAAAACCTTAACAATGTGAGAGGACAAGTCAATCTGCGAAGAACATAGATTGATCAAACATAAATGCATATAAATCATAACGATGAAGATAATTTGAGCGCTGGTGAAGCGGAAATGAAAGGGAAGGCTTACTCTGCGCTCAGCGTTGAGGATCTGGAGATCCTGAGGGGAAGAGGAGTAAGCAAGCAGTGAGAGATGGGACAAGATCCAGAAAGCTACGATTACTCGACCTAAGCTTCGCAAAGCGTCCATGGCTTCCAGTGAGAGAGTGCTTTGACTCTCCTGCGACGACTGGGGCAGTGTATGGTGGAAAGACTTGAGCTAGGCTCACTCTTTAGTGGTGTTCGAGCTTTGACCATTCAGGAATGGAGGATCAAGGTTTTTGGGCTTTGTTTGTCTGGGCTTGTTATGGGCTCAACTTATTCATTTTTAAATAAGTCCATTGCTTATATGAGAGAGAGGCCTCTTTGGCAATCCGTTTTAGATGCTCTCAACAGCCTGAAACTGTTATACATGCTCTTTGGTTTTGTCGATTGTCAAGGGAGGTTTGGCAGCATT